CCAGATACATGATTTGAAAATATTTTCTCCCATTCTGTGATTTGCCTTTTCAGTTTTTGATGATGTCTGCTGATGCAAAAATGTTTTTAATTTTGATGAATTCTAATTTATCTACTTTTTTCTTAATGCCATGTCTAAGAAAAATTACATAACCCAAGGTCGTGAAAATTTACACCTAAATTTTCCTCTAGCTAAAATATAATTGTAATTCAGACAGTGAGGTCTCTGAGCCATTTTGAGTTAATCATTGTATATGATGTGAGGTAGGGCTCTCATATAATTCTTCTACATGGGTGTGTCCCGTGGTCCCAGTATCATTTATTGGAAAAAAAAACTATCATTCCCTACTGAAATGTCTTGGCAGCCTTGTTGTAAAAGGACACACAATTTTATTCCATTTATATGTCAGTCTTTATGACAGAACCACACTATCTTAATAAAGTTTTGTAGTAGATTTTGAAATCTGGAAGTAAGAATCCTCCAACTCTCTTCTCCTTTCTCAAGATTGTTTTGGTTATTCTTATCTCCTTGCATTTATGTGTGAATTTTAGAGTCACTCTGTCAATTTCAGGGAAAAAAAAAAATCAATACATAAAATAGGGACTGTGTTGAGTCTGCATGATCAATTTGTGGTGTACTGCCATCTTAACAATTCTGTGTTCTAATCATTGTACATGGGATATTTTTTCATTTATTTAGATATTTTAAAATAACTTTCAATGAAATTTTGTTTTTAATTTATAAGCCTTATAATTTTTAAATTAATTTTTTCCTAACTATTTTGTTCTTTTTGATGCCATTACAAATAAAATTGTTTTCTTAACTTTACTTTTTGCTTTCTCACTATTATCAAATAGAAATGAAATAGATTTTTGTATATTGGTCTTATATATGCAACATTGCTTTGATGATTTTTTGAAAGATTCCTTAGAATTTTCTAAGTGCAAGATACTATCATTTGTGTGCTGGTGGTTCAACCCACTAGCCACTCCTCAGAAGGAAGGTTGGACAATCTACTTCTGTAGTGATATTGACTTGGAAACCCGAGGAGGGGTCGCTATGAGTCGGATCCGACTTGACAGCAGTGAGTTTGGTTTGGAGCAGAGATAGTTGTACTTCTTTCTTTCCAATCTGAATGCAGTTTGATTGCTTTTGTTGCCTGATTACCTTTACTTGAACCTCCAGTACAAGTGGTGAGAGTAGACATTCTATAGATTTATAAAGTATTTTAATACATATGTTCCTTTATTAGTCAATTTATAAGTTCAGATATAAATGTCATCTCTTATATTTTCATGTATATATTTTCTGCAGTACTCATCTGCCATTATTAGCAAGCAATTCATTATGTCCCTGACACAAAAATATAACCAACCACCACAGCCCCTCTTCATCCTCTCTTCCTTCTTTAGTCACCCCCCCATTTTCCAAAGATCTCAAACCTTATTTCATCAAGTAAAATATTTCTTATAGAGAA